GTTATTGCTAACTCTGAATAAATTGCCTTTTTGTTTTTATATGGATTTGCCTTTATTTATTGCAACATCCTAAAACATTGGGAAGACTTTAGAAGATTTTAAGCAAAGAATGGATGTGAAGCAATGGGTTAAGGGCTAGATTAGCTAGTTTAGCTAAATTCACTTATAATAATAACCCTAGCCCTCACTAGTTTAAAAATTAAAACAAACTATTCCTTATTCAAATCACAATCTAATAAAGTGTTTGATTCCCAAACAGTGATTCATAGACCTAGAGTCTTCCTATACAGTGGTTTGCCAATATTTAGGGCTTCAGAGACCTCCACTGGAACTTTTGCATCCACCTTGAATTTAAAGCAAAGAGACACAGGGTCTGGAAAAGTTACACTTTTGTTTTGCCCAAATTCTATCTCCAAGATTGAGCCCCATGGCTACAGTGTATCTACCAAGGAGGCTAAGAAATGCTGTCCTTCTGTGTGCCTCAAGGAAAATGAATCAAATTCAGCACTGGCATAATATTTCCTATTTCACAAAGAACCACTAGAATAGCTCAGGAAAGTAATGGTGGTACCTGGATCAAGGAGATTATATCAAAGTGGAAAGGAGTTGGAAGTCTCAAGAAAGGTTTGGGAGTTAACATTATAATATGTATAAGGATACATTAGTCCATATTAGAGTGTTAAATGTCTAATTTGTAGTAGTGCCTGAATGATAGTAGGGTTGAGATGACTTGTATTTGTTTAAATGGAAAAGCTCAAACAAGATAAAATAATAAGAACCTCATAGGAGGTAAAATATTAAAGGTATGACCTGAATTTTCCTAAGAAGATGATAATTTAGAAGGTATTAAATTTCAGAGTACAGGTAGAGGCACAACCCTTAAACAGAAAGATTAGTGCCAAATATATTATAATAAATAGTGAAAAACAGCAGATTGGTACAGATTTTCATTTAGCTTTCTGAAGGAGGTAAGCGGCAGAGGGAAATTGTGTGAGTTCTCATAGTTTTACTTTCTCTGAGAAGTAGGAGGTGAGACCCTGTGCTTAAAGTGAGGAAAGAAAGTATGAAGGCCTAAGGAGAGGGGAAAGAGTTGTTGCACAGTTATAGAGAAGGTGAAATAGAAAGTGTAGAAAGACAATGTGGCCATGATAATCTTAGTGATTAGGAATTTATAATTATACCAGTCAGTCCTGGTTTTCTCAATTGGTATGGAGATGTGTTCTCATGTTGTACTCTTCACAGCTGGTATTTACTCAGGTAAGTGCTATTAAAAAAGAGGTAAAAGCTAGTCAGGAGTCACAAACTAAAGAATATGGTACACTGGTCCCACACTGCCCAAGGGACAATGTGAACAAATGAAGCAGGTCCTGTTTTCCCATTTGCAAATGCTGGCATCTGTAGTAAGTGAAAAAGTTCATGTTATACTTGAGCCAGAAAGAACACATCAGAAAAAAGCTTATGGAGCATTTTATAAGAAAAAAAAGGGAATTGGCTACAGTAGTTTAGTTAGAACAGTTGATCAGCAGTCAATGGACATGCTTTTTAACTAACCTGGTCACTAATTAAGTAACTGAATGCATTAAAAGATTCAGAATTCTAAAATACCCAAACAAGATGAATTTTCAACCAAAAATTTAAAATTTGACTAATATAAATAACAATAATTTCTTTCCTATGCCATTTTTAACTTTCTTTTCTGAGGATTGAATGCTGGAGATAATTTCCATATTATGAGGAAAGGAGGCACACAGAGTTTCATCCACAACCATGATTTTTAGAATAACCCAATATCACTCTTCCTGGAGGAAATATGATCCCACTCCATTCCCCCTTCATAGCTAAGATGCTTGACAGGGATATCATTTCACCTGTTAATGTTGAGAGGGGAGATTTTTCACTGTGTAATAGGATCATTGTAAAGGAAAACACATGCAAGATATGATTTATTATTTTTCAGAAAAACTCATATATTTGATACTTTCCTTTTTTGTAATTAATATAAATCATCTTTTTGAAATGGAACTTGATGGGCCTTGTGGCTCCTGCATTAGGATGAACCACATATATTCATCAAGCCCATCTTTTCCCACATCTTCACTTGACAAATGGCTAAGGTCTCGGATTATGAGATAGGATTTTTCAAGTTTCTTAGTACTTATGTCTATCATGTGATTTAGTTCTAAAATATTTAAGGTTATTAGAAAACTTACAAGGGTATTTTTAATTGGAGAAAAGTGTTTATGATATAGTTTAATGTCACAATATCATAGTCATTTGTTCTTGACGTAAGTAACATATGGTTGCTTTTTAAAATTCTAATTGTGCTAACAATTACAAACTAACTGGAATAAATTGGATCTTTGAAACTGCCCAAAACAAACCTGATTATCACTACATGAGTTCTGAGCAACTGGAGTGTCACACCACAATCAACAAATCTCTATACAATTATTAAAATCTTCTATTAGAAAAATTAAACATGAAAGTGAAATAAGATGGCAAAGAAGAACAAAATTAAAACTGCAACTTCAATGCAAATTAAATATATGATTGTATAGTTCGTGAAGAAGGCTATTACACAAAGAATACACTTAACTATAGGTTTTTCTCTAATGAGAGGCTATTGTGGTTCCTTGCAGATACAAATTATGTTCTATAATTATAACCTTGTGCTACATTCATGGGTGGGAAGGAAAAAAGTATTTTTTTAGAGTCTAAAAAGGACACATAAGGCTTCCACTTCCTTTATGGACATGGCTTAGCCAATTGGACTCTGATGCTAAAATCAACCAATTACCACCTCCCTGATCTATAGTTGGTCCAGGAAATCACTGCTAGTTTTGGCTTCTATGACTATTGTCAGGCTTCTATGACTTACCACAATTCTCCTCTGTACTTATTTTTCTTATTAACCAATATATTTAATAAATAACAGTGAAGTCTTCTAAGATTTTTTATAATAAATTTTTAACATTTTTCTCTTTATAACTGTTAAAAATCTATGCGTAAATATCATAAAAGTAAGTAGGGATTTTCACGCTTTTATCTGTGTTGTGTTTACAACTCTTTTGGGGATAAATAGTATTACTTTAGTTGTTATGAGCTAATGAAAAGAGGACAGAGTTAGCGTACAAATGAAAAGATGCCTTAGAGCCAAGTTAAGCTTAATGACGTGGTGGTTATACTAAGGAAGACTTCATAGTAATCTGAATAGAAATAAATAGGCTAGAAAAGCGAATTCCCCAATGATGATGATGGTGATGATAATAATGAGACATGAATGTATATGGAGAAATGTCTGAGAGGGATTAGGAGAAGGGGGGGAGAAAAGAATACTGAGGGGGTGAAGAGGATGGAAGTATGCTATATATATATAGATATATATAGACAGCATAATGAAACCCACAAAAACACTGTTTGGAAAAAGGGGAAGAGGAAGAGGAGGAATGGAAATATAATGAATGGGGTGAACTTGTTCAAGGTACACTGTATGTATGCATGCAATTATCACAATAAAATCTTCTCAAATTATAAATGTATTATAATTCAAAAATAAAATAAAAAAAGTGAATTTCCCTGTGAAATACAACAGTACAGACATGCTGAATTTCAAAGAACCAATCCCATAAGTCATCAGTGCCATATGCCATATTTATATCAAGCAATAGACTTCCAACAAAAACATTATATTAATATTATTTGAAGTTTTTATATATAAGTTGTGAATTTTCAGTTATATTTGTACATATTTTACTTTGTTTTATAAAATAAATAACGTTATAGTGAAAGTAATTTAAATAAGTACTGGGATCAACAGAAGAGTTGTGACAATTTATTTTACTATTGCACAGCTCTCATGATTCAATTTTCATTGTTGATGTTATGTTTTCTGTAAGTTCCATTTGGTGATAATTTTACTTAGAACAAATCAAATCTCTCTTTTGTTTAAACCTTCAGTTACAGAAGCATAACCATCATGTTTCTGTTTTATCTGCCTGTATCTTTTTTTCTTGGTTCAATATATTTTGTGAGACTACTTTGGGCAAAACATTGTGCATTTGCCATTTTTTTTTTGTTTGTTTCTTTCCAGTTTAAATAGCTGCATACCTTTCAACCTTTCTTTGAAAGATTTTTTTCCTGAACCCTCAACATCTACTCTATTTTGCACATACTTGGGTGATGTCTTTCTTAATGTGACACTTATAAGTAACAATACAGAATATGTGACTTTTGTTTAATACCATCATTAATAGTAAGCAGGAATTATTAAACACTTAGCACTCTATTAGGTTTTGAGGAAGGAAGACACAAAAGTATATGGCACAGTATTCTTGTTTTAAACTTATTTAGATTGGAGAGCAACTTTAGATCTTATTAAATATTATAAATATAAACACTATTGGAATTCAGAAGGTACAGAACTTATGTTCTGGACCTATCACAGGAAGTTTGTATTACTAGTTTATTACTAGTGCGTATTGAAAGCTACATTGGATTTGACTATTTCCAGAGTACAGAAATACTTAAGTACTTTCTCCAAAGAAGCATAAAGATTGGTGATGCCAAAAATTAAATCTAGATCTATTTCTTCTTCCTACTGGATTCTTTTGTTAGAAAAACAACAGTGCTTCAAATAGCAAATTAGCGATCAAACCTATTATTTTTGGAACGGCCACTGGAATTTAAACGCGAAAATTTTAATTTTTGTGTTTGTTCCGTTTGGCCTGAAATCAGTGTTACAACAAATTTTGAGTCGAATTTCCTTTTGGATTGCTTTTAGGTACAGCTCACATCTCCAGTGCAAAAAGAAAAACAAAAAAACCCAGGAAGACTGGAATGTAACCAGTTAAACTGTTTCCGCCGGCTTACTTACCCTTAAGCAAGATGGTGGGCGCAGTTGCACATGCGCAGAGAGTATGCACGGGCGGGTGAGTTCCGGCGCGGTTTATTTGCGTAACTGGTTGTAATTGGTAGCGTGTAAGCGGAGGGGCAGAACCGGAAGCGCCGTGTAGTAAGTTTCAACTGGTTTATCTTACGCGGTGTCTTTCTTGTGTGTGGTTTCTCTTTGGATTTTTTTGCTTTTATCGAGGTTGCCATGGGGGAAGCCGAGAAGTTTCACTATATCTACAGTTGTGACCTGGACATCAATGTGCAGCTTAAGATGTAAGAGGACGCTGGAAGTAGGGAGAGGGATTGCTGGGCCACTGGGTCGTGGAGGCAGGGGCTGTAGGGGATGGAAGAGGGTGATTGTCCTAGGGGCAGTCTGGAGTCTGTGGCCGTGGAAGCGAAGGAGAGTGGATGGTGAAATAGACTGTGTGAGAGAAGACTTGAGGTTTGGTATCCGTGAGGACAGATATGGGTATAAACGTTAAAGTTCCACAGTGTTTTACGAACACTGAAAGCAGTTTGGTTTTCAGCCTTTTGAGGGATTATTACTGTCTCATTTTAGTCTTAGTAAACTCTTCCTCCTGCTGTAAATGAGAAGGAGATCTTTACTTTAGAACACGGCCAAAGGGTGTAAAGGAGACCGCAGAAAGTACGAAAGGAGAGACACAGGTAGCGGTGGTAGTAGACGAGATGAGTACATGTGTGTAGGATTAACAGTACGGGAAATAATAGATTATTTTTGGGGCAAATTGTCATTGTCAAGGGGTGGAAGAAGAGGTGTCAGTTTCCAAGGGATCAGGAAAGTATGAGGTAAGAATCTTGCAGGAAAACTTTGGGGCACCATGCTTAGGTCTAGAGCATCACAATTTCTTGAGAATAATGCAACTAATGGGTTAATAAGGAGTAGAGTAGGAAACTATGTCGCTGAAAGATGGTTTATAGAAGTATTGTCAAGACTATCACAAGTTACTAACCACAGCATAATTCATAATTAATAAGCATTTATTATGTATTTTACCAATATTAATAAATATGTTAGCCAAAGGACTGCGTGCCTGGAATATATGATACATTTTCTCAGTGCCCATATGTCACTACAAATGTCCCAAAGCACTGTAAAAACCACTTTTCCAAAGTTGAACTCAGTGTTTCCTTCCTGCTCTAAGTCTGATTTCCTGTGTTTTCTCTCACCCTATTTTGGTGTTTTTTAGCATTATCCATCTGATTTTTTAAGACAGAAAACCCAGGCATAGTGATACTCATTTTTTCTGCTAAATGTCTTTGCTGCTTTTTTAATCCCACCAATCCAGTAGTAATATACCCTTTTCTTTTCTATTTTTATGGCAGTCATCTCACTGAGTTTCCTTGTTTTCAGCCCTTCTTCTTTGGTATGTTTTTGTACTACTGCTAAAAGTAATATAAAAAGAATTGGATTTTGTTATTTTCACCTCAGTTAACAGATTTTTAAATGTTCATCTTGTGTCAGCACTGTACTGAATTTGATAGCTTCTGATATTCATTGTCTAGCTCCTATTTTTGTTTTCATTTTCATTTTTAGCTTTTTCCTTATAGCTTTATTCTGTACCTATACCACACAACTTGCAGACAGATTATCTGTCCCATTTTCCTTTGCATATGATTTTTTTTTATTTTTAAATCAATGTTATATATGCTGTCTGATTGGAATAATCAAGTACAAGACAAAGACAAACCAAGATGCTTTGGCAAGTGGAAATAAAAGAACAGCAACATCATAGGGTTGCTTACATATGTTAATAAAAAGAATATTCTTTGAAATAATGGCAGTAATGAAGTCTGGCCATTGATGATGATAATGGTAGTGGTAATGGAAGGGTTATCAGAGATGATTACTTCAAATCTAAGAACAGAAGCAGAGAATTTTGCTGTGACATTTTCATAGTGTTAAAACTCTGACCAGTGTCATTTCTGAAGGCTGGAATTCCCAAGATTGGGGGCTGCATATGCTTTGGGTGTTTTTGCTGGTAGTGATTCTACCTGGAGAGACTGATGGTGTATACTCTTCTTTCCCTGTGGAATAACTTGCTACCTTTTTTTGCTCCCATTTCCCATGTATTGTTCAGGCTCGTTTTGGACATCATTTTAGATACTAAAACCCCTGCCCCAAGGCCAGGATATATACTCCTGAGAGTTTGATTTATCTTCCAGTGGTGGGAAAAATGTTGGCTTTGACCTCCTTGCTTTGGTTTTTATTCTTAGGTCTGTTGCTTTGATCTTAGATAATAAGTTTGCTCTTTGAGTCTCTGCTTCCTCATTTATGAAATGAGAATATGTTCAAAATTAAGAAGCAATATATAAAATGCCCACTACAATATCTGACATAATGTTGATGTACAAAAAGTGTTCCTACCACTTTAAACATATCCTGTGCATATTTGTTATGACTTAATATGTATTTTATAGTTTTAAGAAATGGTCAGATAATACACATACATAATAAAAAAACAGAAAAAATACAAACATAAAATCCAGCTAAAAGTAAGTTTTTCTCCCAAGAAGCAATAACTTAATACTTTCTTGCAATGCTATATTATCTATCTTGTCATTTCATTTCTGTGCCAGTATGCCTACCATATTAAATGTTCGCTGAAAGAATAGATGTACCAGTGGTCAATTTGAAATGAGAAAAGTGAAACTAAAACCTGGAAAGCTGTGACTTCTAGAAGGAGCTTAAGAGTTGGTGACAGGGTTTAAAATTAAGAAACCCAAATAGAGAAATACATTGATGAAAATAGAATAATGGTAGACATGTTAGAATTTTCAGAGACCCTTATATGTAAAAGTGATTTTAGCTTTATACCTAGGAAAATGTTCTTTAGGTTGCTTTGACAAACTTAAACTTTTCTTTGCATTTGTTATGCATATGTGTAAACGCTTTAAAAATGTATTTCTAAAATATTGTTGTTCTTGGTCTTTTAGAGGAAGCTTGGAAGGAAAGAGAGAACAAAAGAGTTATAAAGCTGTCCTAGAAGACCCAATGTTGAAGTTTTCAGGACTGTACCAAGAGACGTGCTCTGATCTTTATGTAACTTGTCAAGTTTTTGCTGAAGGGAAACCTCTGGCTTTGCCAGTGAGAACGTCCTATAAGGCATTTAGTACAAGATGGAAGTAAGTGGTTTTTTTTTTTTAATCCTTGTGTATGATAGATTTCAGACTGTCTTATCATTTCTTTATAGATGCTCCATATAGGGACAAGTTAGTAGACAATACAGAGGAATTTCTTGTTTTTATGCTTACCAATATAGATTAGTTAAAAGCAGTAACATACTAATATAAAGTGTTACAATTGCAATTGAAGTAGAACTGATTTTATGTTTGTACTCAGCACATTGACATTATGATACGAATTTCACTGGACTTAAACATGAATCAAACTAAAACCACACCTGGAATACCTTTAAATTCTCTAGTATTCTGTGCCCTTGAACACAAAAACACTTCTGCATAGTGTAAAATGTGCAACCCTATGTTTGGAGGTCAGATCTTTAGATTTATTATTGTCTGTTCAAATAAGATAGTTTTTATTATTGTCTTCCATAACAACATACCATAATTCCGTAATTTAGAGTGTATTTAGATCTAGAAGTTCAACAAGTATGGTGAATCACAGTTTTTCCTTTTCAGGAAGTTTTATTTCCTGTTCCATGCCTCACTCAAAAGGAAATTAAAACAAATGAAAATTTTCTTTTTTTCATTTTTCTTTTATTATTCATATGTGCATACAAGGCTTGGTTCATTTCTCCCCCCTGCCCCCACACCCTCCCTTACCACCCACTCCGCCCCCTCCCTCTATCCCCCGCTCAATACCCAGCAGAAACTATTTTGCCCTTATTTCTAATTTTGTTGTAGAGAGAGTATAAGCAATAATAGGAAGGAACAAGGGCTTTTGCTGGTTGAGATAAGGATAGCTATACAGGGCATTGACTCACATTGATTTCCTGTGCGTGTGTGTTACCTTCTAGGTTAATTCTTTTTGATCTAACCTTTTCTCTAGTACCAGTTCCCCTTTTCCTATTGGCCTCAGTTGCTTTAAGGTATCTGCTTTAGTTTCTCTGCGTTAAGGGCAACAAATGCTAGCTAGTTTTTTAGGTGTCTTACCTATCCTTATCCCTCCCTTGTGTGCTCTCGCTTTTATCATGTGCTCATAGTCCAATCCCCTTGTTGTGTTTGCCCTTGATCTAATGTCCACATGTGAGGGAGAACATAAGATTTTTGGTTTTTTCATCAGCCAGGCTAACCTCACTCAGAATGATGTTCTCCAATTCCATCCATTTACAAGCGAATGATAACATTTTGTTCTTCTTCATGGCTGCATAAAATTCCATTGTGTATAGATACCACATTTTCTTAATCCATTCGTCAGTGGTGGGGCATCTTGGCTGTTTCCATAACTTGGCTATTGTGAATAGTGCCGCAATAAACATGGATGTGCAGGTGCCTCTGGAGTAACAGTCTTTTGGGTATATCCCCAAGAGTGGTATTGCTGGATCAAATGGTAGATCAATGTCCAGCTTTTTAAGTAGCCTCCAAATTTTTTTCCAGAGTGGTTGTACTAGTCTACATTCCCACCAACAGTGTAAGAGGGTTCCTTTTTCCCCGCATCCTCGCCAACACCGGTGTTGTTGGTGTTGCTGATGATGGCTATTCTAACAGGGGTGAGGTGGAATCTTAGCGTGGTTTTAATTTGCATTTCCTTTATTGCTAGAGATGGTGAGCATTTTTTCATGTGTTTTCTGGCCATTTGAATTTCTTCTTTTGAGAAAGTTCTGTTTAGTTCACGTGCCCATTTCTTTATTGGTTCATTAGTTTTGGGAGAATTTAGTTTTTTAAGTTCCCTATATATTCTGGTTATCAGTCCTTTGTCTGATGTATAGTTGGCAAATATTTTCTCCCACTCTGTGGGTGTTCTCTTCAGTTTAGAGACCATTTCTTTTGATGAACAGAAGCTTTTTAGTTTTATGAGGTCCCATTTATCTATGCTCTTAGTTGCTGTGCTGCTGGGGTTTCATTGAGAAAGTTCTTACCTATACCTACTAACTCCAGAGTATTTCCTACTCTTTCTTGTATCAACTTAAGAGTTTGGGGTCTGATATTAAGATCCTTGATCCATTTTGAGTTAATCTTGGTATAGGGTGATATACATGGATCTAGTTTCAGTTTTTTGCAGACTGCTAACCAGTTTTCCCAGCAGTTTTTGTTGAAGAGGCTGCTATTTCTCCATCGTATATTTTTAGCTCCTTTATCAAAGATAAGTTGCTCATAGTTGTGTGGCTTCATATCTGGATCCTCTATTCTGTTCCACTGGTCTTCATGTCTGTTTTTGTGCCAGTACCATGCTGTTTTTATTGTTATTGCTTTGTAATATAGTTTGAAGTCAGGTATTGTGATACCTCCTGCATTGTTCTTTTGACTGAGTATTGCCTTGGCTATTCGTGGCCTCTTGTGTTTCCATATAAATTTAACAGTAGATTTTTCAATCTCTTTAATGAATGTCATTGGAATTTTGATGGGAATTGCATTAAACATGTAGATTACTTTGGGATATCGACATTTTTACTATGTTGATTCTACCAATCCATGAGCATGGGAGATCTCTCCACTTTCTATAGTCTTCCTCAATCTCTTTCTTCAGAAGTGTATAGTTTTCCTTGTAGAGGTCTTTCACATCTTTTGTTAGGTTTACACCTAGGTATTTGATTTTTTGAGGCTATTGTAAATGGAATTGTTTTCATACATTCTTTTTCCGTTTGCTCATTGTTAGTGTATAGAAATGCTAATGATTTTTCTATGTTGATTTTATATCCTGCTACCTTGCTATAGCTATTGATGATGTCTAGAAGCTTCTGAGTAGAGTTTTTTGGGTCTTTAAGGTATAGGATCATGTCGTCTGCAAATAGGGATATTTTGACAGTTTCTTTACCTATTTGTATTCCTTTTATTCCTTCTTCTTGCCTAATTGCTCTGGCTAGGAATTCCAGTACTATGTTGAATAGGAGTGAGATAGTGGGCATCCTTGTCTGGTTCCTGATTTTAGAGGGAATGGTTTCAGTTTTTCTGTTAAGTATAATGCTGGCTGTAGGTTTGTCATATATAGCTTTTATAATGTTGAGGAACTTTCCTTCTATTCCTAGTTTTCTTAGAGCTTTTATCATGAAATGATGTTGGATCTTATCAAAGGCTTTTTCTGCATCTATTGAGATGATCAAGTGGTTTTTGTCTTTGCTTCTGTTAATGTGGTTTATTACGTTTATTGATTTTCGTATGTTGAACCACCCCTGCATCCCTGGGATGAAGCCTACTTGGTCGTGGTGAATAATCTTTTTGATGTGTTGCTGAATTCGGTTTGCCATTATTTTGTTGAGGATTTTTGCATCAATGTTCATTAAGGAGATTGGCCTATAGTTCTCCTTTTTGGAGGTGTCTTTGCCTGGTTTTGGGATAAGTGTAATACTGGCTTCATAAAATGTGTTTGGCAGTTTTCCTTCCCTTTCTATTTCGTGGAACAGTTTAAGGAGGGTTGGTATCAGTTCTTCTTTAAAGGTCTGATAGAATTCAGCAGAGAATCCATCAGGTCCTGGACTTTTCTTTTTGGGGAGACTCTTGATTGCTGCTTCAATTTCATTTTGTGTTATAGGTCTATTCAGGTGATTAATTTCCTCTTGGTTCAGTTTTGGATGATCATATGTATCTAGAAATCTGTCCATTTCTTTTAGATTTTCAAATTTATTTGAATATAGGTTCTCAAAGTAGTCTCTGATGATTTCCTGGACTTCCATGGTGTTTTTTGTTATCTCCCCTTTTGCATTCCTAATTCTACTAATTTGGGTTTTTTCTCTCCTCATTTTAGTCAGGTTTGCCAGGGGTCTATCGATCTTGTTTATTTTTTCAAAGAACCAACTTTTTGTTTCATTAATTCTTTGTATGGTTTTTTTGGTTTCTATTTCGTTGATTTCAGCTCTTATTTTTATTATTTCTCTCCTTCTATTTGTTTTGGGATTTGCTTGTTCTTGTTTTTCTAGGAGTTTGAGATGTATCATTAGGTCATTGATTTGGGATCTTTCATCTTTTTAATATATGCACTCATGGCTATAAACTTTCCTCTCAGACTGCCTTAGCTGTGTCCCATAGGTTCCGGTAGGTTGTGTTTTCATTTTCATTGACTTCCAGGAACTTTTTAATTTCCTCTTTTATTGCATCGATGATCCATCTTCATTAAGTAATGAGTTATTTAGTTTCCAGCTGTTTGCATGTTTTTTGTCTTTACTTTTGTTGTTGAGTTCTACTTTTACTGCATTGTGGTCAGATAGTATGCAAGGTATAATTTCTATTTTCTTATATTTGCTGAGACTTGCTTTGTGCCCTAGGATATGATCTATTTTGGAGAAGGTTCCATGGGCTGCTGAGAAGAATGTATATTGTGTAGAGGTTGGATGAAATGTTCTGTAGACATCTACGAGGTCCACTTGATCTATTGCATATTTTAGATCTTGGATTTCTTTATTGATTTTTTGTTTGGATGACCTATCTATTGATGATAATGGAGTGTTAAAGTCTCCCACAACCACTGTGTTGGCGTTTATATATGCTTTTAGGTCTTTCAGGGTATGTTTGATGAAATTAGGTGCGTTGACATTGAGTGCGTACAGATTGATGATTATTATTTCCTTTTGGTCTATTTCCCCTTTTATTAGTATGGAATGTCCTGCTTTATCTCGTTTGTCAGCGATAAGTATTGCTACTCCTGCTTGTTTTCGGGGGCCATTGGCTTGGTAAATCTTCTTCCAGCCTTTCATCCTAAGCCTATGCTTATTTCTGTTGGTGAGATGAGTGTCCTGTAAACAACAAATTGTTGGATCTTCTTTTTTAATCCATTTTGTCAAACGGTGTCTTTTGATGGGTGAATTAAGTCCATTAACATTAAGCGTTAGTACTGATAGGTATGTGGTGATTCCTGCCATTTAGTTGTCTTCGTTGTTTGAAGGTTTGATTGTGTGTACCTAACTTGATGTTACTCTCTACTGTCTTGCTTTTTCTTATCCTGTGGTTTGGTGCTGCCTGCCTTATCATGGTTAAGTTGGGTGTCACTTTCTGTGTGCAGGATCCCTTGCAGAATCTTTTGTAATGGTGGCTTTGTGGTCACATATTGTTTTAGTTTCTGCTTATCATGGAAGACTTTTATTGCTCCATCTATTTTGAATGATAGCTTTGCTGGGTAGAGTATCCTGGGGTTGAAGTTATTTTCATTCAGTGCCCGGAAGATCTCACCCCACGCTCTTCTTGCTTTTAATGTTTCTGTTGAGAAGTCTGCTGTGATTTTGATGGGTTTACCTTTGTATGTTACTTGTTTTTTCTCTCTTACAGCCTTCAATATTCTTTCCTTAGTTTTGAACTTGTTGTTTTAATGATGATATGTCGTGGAGTAGTTCTATTTTGATCTGGTCTGTTTGGTGTCCTGGAGGCCTCTTGCATCTGTATGGGAATATCTTTCTCTAGATTTGGGAAATTTTTTGTTATTATTTTGTTGAATATATTACGCATTCCCTTCGCTTGCACCTCTTCTCCTTCTTCGATGCCCATGATTCTCAAGTTTGGTCTTTTGATGGAGTCAGTGAGTTCTTGCATTTTCTTTTCACAGGTCTTGAGTGTTTAATTAATAGTTCTTGGTTTTTCCTTTAATTACCATTTCATCTTCAAGTTCTGAGATTCTGTCTTCTGTTTGTTCTATTCTGCTGGATTGGCCTTCCGTTTTGTTTTGCAGTTCTGTTTCGTTCTTTTTTCTGAGGTTTTCCATATCCTGGCAGTTTTCTTCTTTATTGTTGTCTATTTTTGTCCTGAGTTCATTTATCCATTTATTGATTGTGTTCTCTGTTTCACTTTGGTGTTTATACAGTGCTTCTATGGTTTCCTTTATTTCTTCTTTTGCTTTTTCAAATTCTCTATTTTTATTGTCTTGGAATTTCTTGAGTGTCTCCTGTACATTTTGGTTGACCCTTCCAGTATCATCTCTATAAAATTCTCATTGAGTACTTGTAGTATGTCTTCTTTTAAATTATTCTTGTGGGCTTCATTGGGTCCTTTGGCATAGTTTATCTTCATTTTGTTGGAGTCTGGATCTGAGTTTCTGTTCTCTTCATTCCCCTCTGGTTCCTGTACTAATTTTTTGCTGTGGGGAAACTGGTTTCCCTGTTTTTTCTGTCTTCCCGTCATTGTCCTTGGTGTTGTTACTGTCCCTGTACTGTGTGCAATTAAGTATTTTCTAGCTTGTAATAATAACAATGGTAATATTTAGATTGGAAGAGTGAGCTGAGATGGAAAGCAAGAAGTTAAAGAAAAGGGGAAAACAAATATACAGACAAGAGGGAGAAAGCAGAACAAAGTATCAGACAAGAGAGTTTCAAAGGTATAAACAGGGAGTGTTAGTGTACTAATTGACAGTAAGCTGAACAGACATTAGAGAGACAGAGAGAGGATTGAAAATCAAAGATAAAAAATAAAAAATAAGTAAATGAAAGTAATATCTATATATAAAAATGAATTAAAATAAAATGGAAAATAGAAAATTAAACAAAACAAAAAAGAAAACAAACCAAAAAACTTCCAAGTTTATATGCAGTGCAGTTTCAGTCTTAATAGTTCGGGTGTCCGTTTCAATCTCCAGTCCTGGAGTTGGTGCCTCAGATGTTGTTCTGTAGTTGTCTCATCAAAGGGGATGCATAAAGTAGAACAAAACTACACACACACACACACACACACACACACACACACACACACAAAAGCCCCACCAAGTGTCCCCAGTTCAAATGCAATACAGTTTCAGTAAGTTTTTTTCGGCTTGCAGGTGTAATAGAGGGAAATTAAAGTCTCTTTCCCCTCCTTTCATTTGCCAACTCTTTGGGCATTATTTTGGCATTATATACAAGGATATAAAAAAATTCCCATGTTTGCTCTCTAAAAGTTTGATTTTTTTTTAAATTTTTATTTTTGAAATTATGTAACTACTAAACAAAATAAGTACTTTGAAATAAATAAAATGGCTTTTTGAAATTAAAAGGTTTAAGACAACTGTGTAGAAAATAGACTGTGAAAAATGCCTTATTTTGGGTAAGTAACATGCAGATAGGCATTTAAAAATGTACTATGAAATTAAAGGTAAGTACATATAGATTTTGTACAATCTGCTCTTTTGTATTTGAAAGTTGAGCTTATTACCAATTTATCAAAAAAAGGGCCCTCCAAAATTAAATGGGGGCAAAAACTTTATATAGCCATCATTCTTTGTAAGTACTTGCTTTAAAGAAATATAAACTGAAAAAAGAAATTATACCATAAAAGAATCTGTTACTTTCTGAATGTTTGAATTTCCATAGTTTAGATAATATATTTTGGAGTAGTATGTGATCCTGGATTATATGAATCTGTTTTGATGGTGGGTTCTGTGATATCTAATAAGGAAGTATCCACCCAAAATTTATCCATGTTTATATTATATCCTACTCTCTGTCCAATAAGAAGAAGCCCCAGAGTGAGTTAACATGTACTTTATTTAATTATACTTTAGGTAAATTCTCATTTGATGGCACATACTACAAATTAAGGTTTTTTTTTTATATGAATGTTTTTCTTATAGGTTCAAATTTTTCAAAATGGTTTATATTCAATTTTATCCCATAAAGTAGTTGAAATGGCTTTAGAGTGACACATAATAACAACAAAATATAATTTAAAAATTGCAGTGTTAGGATTTAAATGTATATTAATCAGATGGGAGAGATAGTATGGTAGCGTGTTAGGGTGGTGGTACATGGTGGAGATTACAACATCCAGGTTTAGGCTTTATAATCTTAAGAAAGATTTGAGGTTAGAGAAAAATGGTACATGGAAAGAAAGCGAGCAAAATGTCCAAAGTGAACAGCTTTTTGGTGTCTGACTAGACCTTTTTGTAAGTTCTGGAATATCTAGAACAGGACCATTTTCTTCAAAAGAGCCTTTATGCACAAGTCCAATATGTAAAACAGATTTAAGCACAGTTACTCTTATTTAAAGAAGTATTGCTGGCCAGGAGTTGGATTGTGAAAGGTTGAGGTAAATGATCATTTGGACAAGGGTATAATCTACTAGAAATTAATGGACAGAAATAGAGATGAGAAATTTAGTTTTAGTGAGTATTAATTAACCTCTGTGGTTTGTTCATTGGCAAAACATGGCACTGTTTAGTATTTTCCTTTTTTAGCCTGCCCTACCATGTAGATAGTAATTAAATTAGTTGCTAAAGCTTATCTGTAGAGATAATGGCTTTCTTAAGCATGCAATTTATTTTTTTAAGAACTTTATAGAAGGAAAGGATTTAATGATTTTTTTTCTTGAAGTTGAAGGCCATCTTTAATTGTTCTAGAGGTTCTTAAATTTATATTGTGGTTATAAATGATTCTTGTGTAAGTTTATGAAAATTCTGTTCCATTTCTTACCTGTGCAAATGTGTTTGACCTTAGACTGAGATAAGCCCCTTTGTGAATAATTTTGAGTAAATAGATAAACAGAATTCTATGTGTCTTTTGGGTATTAGTTTGTACACTGTTTGTACAGTATTCATTTGGGATTTTAAAAGCCATCTTCTGTTTCATGTAGTAGAAATTATCAAATGATTCCATTTTAATTATAGAAGAAAACTTACAGAGATGAATATACAATAAAAAGCCATGCTGAATGACTATATTATTTAGAACATTCATTAGTGATTTAATATATACAGACATGCTTTGAAAGCATAAAGTACTAATAGCTAGGTGTTATCAACATTAATTAAATAACTTGAGGTACAAAAAAAAATCTCACATAAAATGCTATATATCTGTCTAGAGCAAGCTGGTAACTATGAATTTAGCAGAATTGTCATGAATTGTAGCAGATTGTCTCCTTTGACTTCTGGGAGGTTTTGGTATTTGGTTGCTTAAGATGAGTATCTTTAATTTTTTTAATTATTTTATCTTCACAATTTGAAATTGTCTTCTACAGAATGGTTAAAGAAAATGACAGTTTGGTTCAAAAGTTATAATATGTTAAAATGTTTTCCCAGATTTTTAGCCATATTTCCTTGTATTTTAGTGGTATTGCCTAAGGGATTTTTGTTGTTTTTTGACACAGTGTCTTGCTACCTGGGATTACAGATATGTGCCATCATGTCCAGCTTGCGTTACTTGATTGAAGGATTTAATAGTGTTGATTTTACATAACCTCTTTTTTTTTTAATTTATTTTTTTGCAGTACTAAGCTTTGAACTCAGGTTCTACACCTTGAGTCATTCCACCAGCCTTTTTTTATGATGGATTTTTTTGAGATAGGGTCTCACAAACTAACTTGCCCCAGGCTGGTTTTGAACCATGATTCTCCTGATCTCTGCCTCCTGAGTAGCTAGGATTACAGGCATGAGCCAGTGTTGCCCAGCAAATTTTTCTTAAACTCTGTTTTAAAAAAGTTCATGTCTTTTGTACTTATATTCAAGATAGCAAAATTGAGATAACTTCCAGATTTTTTTTTTTTTGAGTACTAATATAATCTTTTTGGAACCTTTTCATCTGGCCCAACCATCTTGTATGGTTTGTTAATTTAAAAATAAGATATCTTACCTGTTTATGTTGGCTCTGTTTCATAGCTGGAACGAATGGTTAAAACTGCCCGTGAAATACCCTGACCTGCCCAGGAATGCGCAAGTGGCCTTGACCATATGGGATGTGTATGGACCAGGAAAAGCAGTGCCTGTAGGAGGAACGACTGTTTCACTCTTTGGAAAATATGGGTAAGCATTCTATTGTGCTGTTCTGTGGGAGTATGGTAGCTTTCTGCCTTTTTTTCTTTTCTGGATAGCTTTCATTGTTTATGCTGTATGGTTCTCCGTGTGAAAATTAGTTAGGTCCATGGGATTTAGTCATTTTTGAAACTGAATTTGACAGAGCTTTTCTATAGGATGAACAGCTAGGTTAGTTAAGAAACACAATTTTATATTACTCTGTAGTTAATTATTGCTAATGGGGTTTATATTAAAAATTAAAGTCATCTGAAACTAACACCTTGCTTTTGGGGAATACTAGCATATACTGTAACTCCTTTATTATTTAGTTTTCCTGCTTTGTCTTAATAATGACAACAGTAATACTTAAAAAGTGGTAATTCACTAATGGTCATAGTGATTATTATAGAAAAGTTAGCTGTTTTACAGAAAATTTACAAATGATAGAAGTTTATTGTTTTGAAAAAATCTCATAGTCTTGAAGGTTATTTTATCTCCATCAGTTTTTCCCTGGAATGGAGAGAGTGAGTTATTTTTACAGAATTGGTGACTCTCAATTATTCTTTCCTGCGTTTATTGATTGGCGTTTTTTCCCTGAAGAACATAACCTTCAGTAAGTATTTAGCTGCTCTGGTGTGAGGTTCATATGGGACAGGTAGATAAATGGTTAAACTTTTCTTTGTCATTTACCAATTTTAAAATTAATGGGTTGGTATATAATTAATCTACAAAGGTGAGAAATGACAGCTTTTTTGTTTTTAAGCTTTGTCATAACTTTTGGACTTTTTTTTGGGTATTGTTTTATCCATTGCTGTCTTAAATCTTTACAGTGTTCACAAATGTCCTGGTTTTTGGTCAGTAGGTGCTCCTTCTAGTGGATCCTGTGTCCTTTCAGCAGTGTAATGGTAGCCATTGGTAGCTTCTTTGCTTTCCAATAAATAAGCTATTCCTAACTCATTAGGTAATTTTCTTTTCCAGACCTGGAAACTTGGAAAGAAGTTTTGGTTGCTTTTGGTACCAAGTGGTACAGACTTTATCTGACTAGGTATTTTCAGAATCTTAATTTTTGCCCATTTTAAAGTTGAAAATGTTACTTAATTTGTATATTAAATATAAATGGGAATGGTCATATTTTGATGTGTTTATTGATTATTTGTGATTTTGTTTCTATAAATTGCTTTTTGATGTCCTTTTCCCATTTTTATAGAGATGTAGTTCATGTACTATGTAATAAATCTTTGCCTTGTTTTTGATTGTCATTTTCTTGTTAGTGTATTAGGAGATTTTGTAGATGAAGGAAATTAGCCATTTGTGTATTATGCTAAAGTACTGGTTGTTTTTTCTGTTTGGTTTGTTCTTTAGAATTTACTATGTAGCTGTCGATCTCATTGCTATTTATGGATCTTAAGTTATTATGTGAATTTGAATTTAGTAATTTTGGGGGGCTTGTGAATTTTAAAATGTCCTTCCTATTTAAGATTATTTTATAGGCTTCCTTTTGTTTTATTTTTATTCCTTTACATTTAAAGCCGTGATTGATGTAAAATTACTTTTGTGAAAATAGTGACATATTATAAATCAGCTTAAAAGAAAGCAAAAATAAATGCTTTATATATTTCTCCCAACACTGTTGCATAGTCATCTTTCCAACTGTCTTAAAATGGTTTCTTTATATGCCCAATTCATCGGGTACAGAAATCTAAGAGAGGCAATATATAGCATAGTGGTTAGGAAGGCAAGTTAAAGAAATAAATGATCTGTTTTCAAATCCTAGCTTCTTTCCTTAGTATCTTTGTGTCTTTGGACAAGTTGTTTAGTCTTATTACACCCCAGTTTCTTCATCTGGAAAATGAAATCACAGTATCTACTTCATGGTTTATAGTGATTATCTAAGTACATTTAGTGAGCCTGGCAAATATTATATTTATATGTCGCATAATTATATGTGTTTAATAAGTGTTGAGTTTAGTAAATATTAGCTTTTATTTTTGGATTATCTTGTCAGTTCTGAATAATACAAAATGCTTCAATCTTGGGTAGGGATAGTCCTTATTAGTCTCCCTTTTAAAATATTTCTGGATGTTCTCCATACTTGACTTTTCAGATAGATTTTAATATTATTTCCTCAATAATAATAAAAAGGCCTTATTATTATCTTCTTTGAAAATAATTTGAATTATATATGTTAATTAAGGAGAGAACTAAAATCTTTAAAATAATGAATTTTTCTATTCAAACAATGACATGTAAGAATAGCTTTAACTCATGAATAAAATCTAGAGGTCATCCCATTTAGAATAACTTGATGACCTATTAATGTTTGGCATTTAGTATAATGTAGCTGTTGAAGAGATATTTGCTATTGAAATCCATATAGGAACAATAATTTAGTTATGATTAGAAATATTGTAACTTTCGGGTTTAAATACAATTTGTGATAAAATAGCATGGCTGTAGCAGAATGGACATTTTGCTAATTCAGTATTGTTCCTTTTCTTGAATATTTGCTCATTTTTATTGTTCTTACTAGGGAGAGGTTTGTTTGCCCCAGAGAGAAAAAAAAGATGTACAGTAGTTTATTACTCTTCTTAGTGGCTAAATGTTTTTTACAGGTGTTTTGCCTTCTGGAAAATCAGCTGGAGAGTACCATCATGAAAATACCTGTTTTAGCACATCTGTGCATTTTAGATGAACTTGGGATCTGGTTTCAGGGGATTTTCTGGCCAAGCTATGGGTGTGGAATAATTAAAATTCCCAAAGAAATATAGTGAAATAACTTGCTGAAAGCAAATAAATATTTTCTCATATTGACTTATATGGCACTGTTTTACTTAGCTTTTAGGAAGTTTTTGAAAAGTACATTGTGTCAGTAGCAATCAGTCTGTGTAAGAATCATCTGGAAAGCTCACTAGGGAAGCGTCTTCTGGATTTGTCACTGATTTGGTAAGTCCGTGGTAGAGCTTGAGCTATTCTGTGAGAGGTGGTTGTAGACCACATTCTGAGAAATACTGCATTACTTTTTGGCATAGTAGCCTATTCACATAGCTTATGTATACAACTCATACTTTCTGCTTGCTTTACTCTTTGTCATTCTATGCATAGTTCAATAAAAGGAAAATTCTTTTACTTTCAACTCAAATTAAGCTGAAAATGTGCCCAAAAACCACAAAACAGTGCCACTTACTCTATTTGAGAAGTAATTAAACCCTAAGAGTTTCCATAAAAGTAGTAAAATTATTGGGAGTTTTCTTTACCATTAACTTGAAAAGAATCTTGTTTTGTCTTTAACTGGAAAATAGCTCATGCTATTTCTTTATGTCCTGAAGACATTTGATCTTAGATACAAGTGAAATATATTAGAGAGTGACATTGATTCTGTGAGCATTTAGAGTAGGTTTCTCAAACTTGAGCCATTTACTACTCATCACTTTCAGAATTCTAGAAAAATTCTACAAAATATTGCTATCTTTACTTATTCTTTTTTTATACTTATTCTTTTTTGTATTTCCACTAATTTTAAAGTGAAAACTTGATATTTTTGCTGAACATGGAAAACAAGAATTATTTGACATTGATGGCTAATGGTAAAAATACAACGAAAACCACTATGTTATAAATTTTAGAAACTGAGGCAAAAAAACCTGATGAAAACAAAATTTCATTAATTATATTGTCAACTTGGTTGTAAAATATGCATATAATACCTATCAAAATGTCTTTAGTTAGAATTGTTCTGTTTGTGCCTGGTCAGATATATGGTAATATTCATCTCAATGTCAATTTAATGGTTTTAATGGTTTTGTGCCAACATTTTCTTTATGAATCAGTCCAACTTCTATGTGGTTGTACAGCAGTTATCCAAATGATAACATCAGATTTTAATATTGGTCATTGGACACCTTGAGCAATGGGGAAGGAGTACCAAAAAGCTAGATTGCCAACTACTAGTCCTACTAGGCTGGCACTTACATTTACCTTCCCCTGAGAAGAGGGAATGCTAGTGAACCCTATAAAATGAAAATAACTCTTTTCTGTGTCCTGGGCCCTTGCTTTGAAAAGTCAGGCTTCCCCTGACAAGCATGGATGCACCAGAGTTTCTGGAGCAGCTCTGAATTGTGGAAGAATAGGATCTTCAGAATTTCCAGGTACAGTAGCATTCAAGCATCTACTTTTGCTGTTCCATCCTAGCTGCTTCTCTACACATGCCACCGACATCCAGGGAAACAAAACATCTTCCTTGTGGTCTCAGTATGTAGCCTGTGCAAATTTTCTTCCATCAGAAGTCATGTCATGTGCCCCCACAACTCTACTGACCTAGGAAAACACTGCTTTAGACCACAGTTTCTTCACATTTCTTATATAATGAAGTAACATCAATTGTTCTTCTTTTCCCGTAAAGAGTCCTGGTATGCACTTAGTACCAAGTTCTTAAAGTGGTTCTTCAAGCATTTGATATTGTAGTATTAAAGTACCAATCTTAGGACTGGTAATCTTATGATTACCAACTCTACCTATTTGCTAATATCTCTTGTATATGTGAATCAGGGGATGCAGAGCTTCTTGGAGAAGTCTAATTAATATTTGAAAGACAGAACTGCTAGGGTAAGGCTAGAATAACTTACTGTTCTTAATTTGAACATCTAGCTTGTGAGACTTCTAAGTAGCTTAAGAATGGATTGATCATTAGGTTGAATTGGCAAAGAACCATAGGTGGTCTGCAGATTTCTCTTGCAGATGTTTTTTCCTAATGTGAATTCTGAAGTCAAGGCAGTTGCTACTATAGTAGCTTGGCACTGCAAGCTGGAACACAGTAGCTGGAGTTGAAGGAGAGCCTGCTGTGCTGGTGTTTCTCTGTTGCCTGTTTGGCTTAATTTCCCAAGTGGACATGTTCTGAGCATCTTCTGCCTTGCCACTTGGAGGCTGTGGAACTCTGCAAGGTTTCATTAGTGTCAAAAAAAGGTATCATGTTCACTTGATCATTTGAGTCATTTGGCATTACCTCTACCCTCCACATCCTCTCTCTTTTCCACATCCATCCCAAGGTACCTAAATCACTTAGTAAACTGACTTCCTGCCAGATGTGCTTATTTCTGATTTTGTTACATTCAGCCAAAGTATTCACTAAGGGGTGGGAAGGTAGAAGAAAGGGAAGTCTTCTGCTATTCTGAATATACATTTAAGGATATTTGTTAAAAGTAGTATTACCTCATTTTACCAGTTCTTTAGAAACTGATTTAAGGAGGTCTACTTAATGTTGAACCTGTATTTCAGTTAAAAGGGAAAAAAAGTTAACTTCATTAAAGATATGTGTATGTGCTTTTTTTATAATGTAACTTAAAAATGTTTAACATAATATTAAGAATTTTGATTCTCCACAACCTACTAGTACATTTTTTTAATTGGGCCTGTAAGATAAACTTTCACATATACCATTGCTGGAATTACCTTTTTTCTTTTTGTCAACTTAAAAAAAATTTTTTTTGTTATGTATTACTGGAAGTTGGACTCAGGGTCTCATGCTTGCTAGGCAGATATTTTACCATTTGAGCCATTCCCCCCAGCCTTTTTTTTTTTTTCTGACCAACTTTAGAGACCTGATAGTAGATACGGTTCTTAATTTTATTGTGCTCTTGCACCTGTAGGTATCCTTTTTATTTTCTAGTCTAAATGTTTATGGCATTATTACCAGCATTACATAATGTTTGATGAAAATCTCCTTGATGACCTCAGGGAAAAAAAAATCTATGAGTAAGTTCTTCATTAGTCAGACATACAATAATGTTAAAGTGGTTAAAAATTTAAGTAAGTAGACAATTTTTTTTAAAGACTGAAGAATAATCAGCGTATCCAAAATGTATCGTGGTTATTTTTTTAATAAGTACTGAACATGAAACTATGAAAAATGCCTTAGATTTTCTACTCTGCTACATACACTTCTAGTCTGTTTTTTTTCCATTGCATTTGACACCTTGTTCTTTCAGCTTTGACGTACTTGCTGTTTGAGTAGACTTAGTACTGTTTAAAAGGATTTTTTGTTTTTTGCTTTTCGTGTGTAAAAAATATATTTGTAAAATGTGTTACTCAAAAACAGTTATACAAAGAAACATACTAGAGACAACCATCTCTAACTCTGTGGAAAAAAAAAAACCTCTTTACAAAATCATTGTATAAAGCTCTCGTAGGAATTTATTTAACCTTTGCTGTAGATCTTCTTGGTAGCTTTTTGAAGGCAGCCTAATGATCAAAGATTTTTCATTATAAAGCAAGATAACCATACCGAATCTGACTACATGGTAAACTTTTGATTTGTAGACATGAAAGATTTTGGATGCGCCCACTATTGTATTTCTTTGTAGAACATCCCTCTTAGCAGTAAAGGAGGTGGAAGAAAAATCAACCCAAAGAATGAAAAGTATAATAGTAGTGTATTTTTACTTTTTACTTGAGTACATTCTAATTGAATTTTTATTCAAGTACTAACTACTAATTGAAATGATTTATGTAATTTTTCCAATAACCCTGTGAGATATAGGTATTCATTATCCCAATTTATGCCTGAGAAAACTGTACTGGGAGGTTACATTAACTTTTTCAAGATCATGTGTATAATAGATGGCACAACTGTGATTCAAACCAAGGCATGCTGAATTATCATGTACAGAAAAGATTTACTTAACGTTAAAATTTTTGTTTTCAGTCTTTTTGGTCTCTTATTCTGAAGAACTCCATTGAAGTGGTAAATGTATGCATTCTGTTACAGATCAATTTCTTCTTTGTAGATTTTTTTCTGTAATAATTCTGTTGCTTGAAGGAGAAAACAATGGCATCAGAAAAACAGAATTTAGTTCCTTAGTTCATTCCCAGTGGAGTATGTATCTGCTGGGAGCTTAAATCTTAGCAATGGAGATATGCATGTCTTCATTCATGTAGAATTCATTGTTTTTAGAAATCTAAAATTTCTTACAATGAACTGCATTGATTTATGACTACCCTGATGCTCTATTTTCCATTAGCATGTTTCGTCAAGGAATGCATGACTTGAAAGTCTGGCCTAATGTGGAAGCAGATGGATCAGAACCCACAAAAACTCCTGGCAGAACAAGCAGTACTCTCTCAGAAGATCAAATGAGCCGTCTTGCCAAGGTAACAAAGAGACTTGAAACAAGTAGAACTCTCTGAATGATGTCTGTTGTAGCGTATCATGACATTATGAACTGTGAGATTTTTTTAAAATTTAAATTTAACTTTTTAGTACGAGTTTTATTGAGATCTAATTCACATACCGTAAAATCCACTCTTTTTTTTTTTTTTTTTTTTTTTTATGGAACTGGGGTTTGAACTCAGAGCTTCATGCTTGCAAAGCAGGCACTGTACTGCTTAAGCCACACCTCCAGTCCATTTTGCTCTGGTTATTTTGGAGATGGGGTCTTGAGAACTGTTTGCCCAGGCTGGCCTTGAACCATGATTCTCTCAATCTCAGCCTCTAAAGTAGTTATAATTACAGGCGTGAACCACTGGCACCCAGATCCATAAAATTAACTCTTGAAAAGTGTACAGTTCAAGGCTGGCAGAATGGGTCTGGCAAGTGTGAGGCCCTGAGTTCAAGTCCCAGTACTGCAAAACAAATGGGTATAATTTATAGAATTGTATAATCATCATCAATAATTTTAGAACATTTTCATCACCCCTGAAAGAAACCATCTACTCATGACTGCCTATTTCCTCCTTACCAAAGCTCCGGACAAATGCTGATCTACTTTCTGTGTCAGTGGATGTGCGTATTCTGGACACTGCACATAAATGGAATCAAAAAGCTAGACAATGGCCTATTGTATGGAATCGCATCAGATTTGAAAATGTGGATTGTTTAGTTACATTTCTAAGATAACCACCTACTTTTCATGATGAAATAGCCTTAAAGATGAAGGTGTTAGATGCTAGAGATGCTTATATGTTTTGGAAATGAAGATTAATTATGTAATTAACCAAAGTACTTTCAACCTTCTTTTGTGAGCAGAGTTATCTTTTTCTTTCAAGATTGGTTTAGTGAAGTGTTTTCGTTTAAGAATACAAATGCTAAGCTCCATTCTGTGTTTACATTGCAACAAGGTAATTTATTTTGTGATTCCTCTTTTATAAGGCACTGTTAGACTTTGTTGAGCCCTTTTGCTAAATCTTTTGTTAAGACTAAAAAATTCATATGTATTTTTCCTTTGCAATCGCGTTAGTATGGATGGACTCTTAGGTCAGTAGAAAGTTTTCATGCCATTTTCTGGCTTCAACCATTTTCTGGCTTGCTGCTTCTCCCTACACATAGAAGTAACCCAAAGAATGCTGTGCTTCAACATGAAGGTTTTTTTATTGTGTGCATTCTAATGTCATAATTAACTAAAAAGCATAGTGACCCTATATACTGTTGCCAGCCTTCTTTCTTTATATTTGAATAAATAAAATTAAATATTCACTTCAGCTACTCATTCTGAGACATTGTTCACATTCTCACAAGTTTTCTATTTATCTAACTACAAGTGTTTATCTTAGCAGTGTTCTTTGATTTTACCCCTCTGTGACATTTGTAAACCTTAAATTGTTAATATCTGTTTTATTAGAAACAGCTCATTTAAAACCTGTGGGTCACTAAAATGTGAAAAAAAGATTAAATCTCAAATGCTAAGTGAGTGTAACCTATACTGAAGAAACAGAAGCTCTTAAATTTTCTTATGAGGGCTACATTATGATTGATTTTATAAATTTGAGGAGAAAGACAAACATAAAGTTGCATAGATAAATAATTTTTTAATTTTGTTTCACTATTATTTCAAATTATTTGAACTTCTGCTTTTTTGTTCCCAATTTTTTCTAATTATTTTTGCTAATTTAAAATAATTTTGTAACTATGGCATTTTGAGTATCTTTAGAATTTGTTTGAACTAAACTTCTGTTTCTTTTTAAATGTAGCACAACTTATAGTGAATTTTTTTTTTAATTTTATCATAGGAAAATGATGTGAGTTGATAATGATCAGTGTATTATATGATTAAAGCAGTAACTCCTTAAGAAACAGATGTATTCACATTTGTTCTTTTAGTTACCTATTTACATTATCAACACCAAGAATGAGAACCTTATCACATACACATAGCAAATTGAGGTGGTGGGAAGAAACCTACTTAATGTTTTTGTTAATTGTTAAAAATTATCATCAGTAGTCTTCAGAGTATAGTAACTTGGCTCCCACTTTTTCAAGAGATAGTTACTAAGATTTATGTACTGCCTGTATTGTGCGGAATGGTTAACAATTTTCAGTTAAATTTATTAGTTTGTAAATCTTCAAAATAGCAATAAAAATTAATGAGAATAAGCATTTTGCAGTTTTTTCTGGTGGTACTTAGAGTTGAGCAATTCTCCAAGTTCTTTTGCCTGTGATAGAATTGTACTTTGAACTTTAAAGGAAGTGGAGACTTCAGAGTTTGCTGTGCTCTGACAGCTTGCATTAGTGTTAGTTAACTTACATTCCCCAAAGACTAATCAGAAACTATCAAAACCAGTAATTACATCACTTCAGGGGAAAAATTGTTCCTATTTGTAGCATTGTTAAAGAACTGTCCCCTAACTCAAGAAAACGTGTTCTTTCTTGTCACTTTGGGATAATATATTCCATTTTTCTCTGTACAGCGGCTAGTTGTGCTTTTAAGGTTTTAGAACTTGTTATATCCCTGCTGCTACTGAGGAAAAATGTTTTTTAAAAAAGATGTCTTAAGTTTGACAAAATTGGGAGCTTGAGCATTTGAAAGTGCTTTATAGTAGGATGAAAACTGTACTGAGTCAGAGTTTTGACCATCTTACCATTTCAGGGAAAATTATTTCTGAGTTTATGAAATTAGTTTAGAATGGATGATTTCTACAGTTCTATGTAGCTCTTCTGTGATTCTAAAAGTATTGACGTAGTAAATAGCTGGAATAACTTATCTACTTAGATTTTATAGTTATCACCTTAGCAGCGAACAATTAGTTCTCTGATAACTAATTGATTAGTTATCAATTTGAAATTGTGAATGTGGTAGGTTTGTGTCATTCCTTTTCTTCTACAATAGATAAGCTTAAGTAATGTAACAGGCTTGCCTCATGTAAATGAGGTGGCTATGCTCTTAGGTTTTGTTTTGTTTGGTTAGTTAGTCCCTGATTCTTAACTGTTTCAGACATGCTTTTCAGAAACAACTCTTTCTTAAACTGAAACATGTTCTATTATTTGCCTTGTCTTATACTAGAGAAAATGTGATGTAATACTTGCTGTGATCTTAACTTGCTAACTTATCAGTCAGAATGTACTTTGATACTTATGTCCTAACTTAAAATTATACTTACATAGTTATTTTTCTTAAAATTACAACACAATAATACATTTTCTCTTATTTGTCTGGTTGCACATTTAAAAATGTTTGATCAATTAGATTGTCACTTTCCTCCTGAAAATATTTTGAAATTGTCTTTGGTGTAATAAACTATTGAATACTGGGAAAAATTTTATATGCTCCATGCTTCCATTTTTCATAAAAAAGGTGCAGAGATTGTAGATGTAGTGCTTATATTTTTTAAACTACCATTTAAGAAAAGTAACGGGTATATAAGTAGATGAGGTTTAAGTGGTTAGAACAGAATGCTTTATTTCTGTTATATTTTGATTTGCAGCCAGTGAATTTTCTACGATTATATGTAATTGTTGAGTAGGCAGTTGGTTTAAGAGTAACAAGGTGTACGTAAATCTTAATAATAGCAAAGTGCAGTTGGTCTGCATTGTACCCATGAGCCTAAATAAGTGGCTTAGTGACAGTTTTCAAACTGCAACACAAGTTTATTCAGTTATAGACTGCTTCAGTTTTGGTTGCCTGAGGATAATGGGACAAGAGAACTGTGAAATGAAGATTAACTATTTAAATGGTCTGTGAAAACATGGTGTTAGATAATTATTAAGCAAAGGACCTCAGCTCCAAGCTGTACTTGATACATTTGCTATGATTTATTGCTCAACTACCAAAGTTGAATTCTGACTACGGTATGAATAACTTAAGTTTAAAATCTTGCTTACCAAGCTTGACAGTTTTAAAAAGTCAAATCTTTTCAGAATGTTTTTAATGGAATTAACCTCTCTAATGGTTTTATATCATTTTGTGAACATGCATAATTTTCCTTTGATGAAAAATGAGAATAAAAAAATAACCATATCAGATAGTATTCAGTTTAGGTCTTACTTTTTGTAACTTGGAGCAGGAAGAATGAATGCATTAAAAACACAACCCCTTACTTCTTCCTCATTCTGTTCTCTTTTCTGTCTCTAAATTTCTCTAATTAAGTTTCTCTAGTAAAGTGTCTTTTTATTTGAATTGATTTGTGAAAATAAGTGGCATATTTCTGGGGGCATTTGGTACACTTTCATTATCTTTGACCTAGCCTTTTAATGACTATGGGCCTTACTTGTGCCACTTTGCTCATTGTTCCCATCCACTCCATTTTTCAGCCTGTCATATTATAAAACTTTTATGACTGGGATTCATATCCACCTGGGGTTTTGGATGTGACTACCGAGCTTTACTCTTTGATTTATATTTGAATCCATGTCTTTAGACATGAAAGGTTAGTGTTTCTCCACTGTCTCTTTTTTCATTTTTGCAGCGCTGCTTGATGCCTTTGGAATGTGCTTTAATTTCTGTCAATTTGATTAAGAGGCAGCAAAGAGAAAGCAATGAGTAGAAGAAAAAGATGTTGTGGTCTGTGCGACAAAGATAGGTTTGTGAATGTTGAGTGAGCATTGCTATAGTGGTAGATGTGGTGGTTTTCCAGGGTGAACCTTAGAGAGGCTGTATGGGATAAATGTGGATCTGGGGTCACTGTGGGTCCAGGGTCCAGCCCTCAGGTTTATTGCAACATAAACTGTTTGTTTTTAGTTCATCCAGGAATAATTAGAGGTACCAATTCCAGTTAGTTCTAATTAAAATAAATTCAGTTAATCTGTCATTATAACCATATTTCAAATTCTTGCCTACATGTAGTAAAGTTTGTCTATTGGACAATGCAGATATGGAACATTTCCACCTTTACCAAAACTTCTGTTGGACAGTATTGATCTAAAATGCCACTTTGTAAAT